CAATTACATGGGCAGGATAATGCGTACATTTCTTACCAAGCATTGCAGCCTCCTCCTTTGTTTACCCTTCACATCCCTTCCCAGCCTCCCCCCTGCTTAGTGGCTTTTAATGATAGTACAAATCCCATCATGAGTCCAGTTGACAACTGGCTGGAGTACCAGCCACAGTCTTCCCTGAGCCCCAGTTACATGCATTTGCCAGAGAGGCATGGTTTTGCTTATATTTGGCTAGGGCCCCCTCCCCGCCATTATCTATCGGTTCTGTGTCCTCAAAACATTTAAGTGTCCCTTTCACGTTTATCTATAAAGCCCCTACCATCAGTTACATTTCACACCTTCAAGAACACACCAATTAAGCCGGCCATGGTGGTCCTCACCTGTAGTCCCAGCTACTTGAGTAAGGTTGAGAGAGGAGGATGCTTGAGCCTACTAGGCTCTAAACCAGCTCTGGCAACCTAACAAGGTCCCATCTCAGCTGGGCACCAGTGGCTCACGCCTGTAATCCTAAATGACTCCGGAGGCTGAGATATGAGGATTGAGGTTCAAAGCCAGCCGGTGCAAGAGACAATCTCCAATTCACCGCCAAAGAAAGCCAGAAGTGGAGCTGTGGCTCAAGTGGTAGAGCTCCAGCTTTGAGCAAACAAACAAACAAACAAACAAAAAACTCAGGGACAGAGCCCAAGCCCTGAGTTCAAGCCCCAGGACTGGCACCAAAAAAAAAAAAAGAAAAAGAAAAAGAAAAATCCTATCTCAGAAAAAAAAGGAAAGGATAAAAAAGAAAAGCAAACAGAAAAACAAGCATCCCAATTACTGAGTGGGAAGGCACAAGCCCCCTGCCGGTTTCCCTGCGCATTGCAGCAAGAGAGTGCGCTCCAGCTCCTCGCCTGCCTGTCAAGAATGCCAAAAGTGCACGCGAGCATGCGCAGGGCTTTCCTGGGAAATGTAGTTGGACGTTTGAATTAGAACTACACATCCCAGTGTGCACCGCGCCTCACGCTTTCAGGTAAATCCGAATCTTGTCTTGGCGGTCCTGCAGGAGTCTGATCCTCTGCTTCCGGGAAGCTTCTGGCGGAACACGGCAGTTCTTAGCTGGGGGTGCGGATGCCGAATCTGGCTTTCGTAGCTTCCCCGACGTGGCGAATCTGCCGTTGCCTCACACAGTGTCCGGCCTCTCGGGCAAGCTTGTGGAATCTGCTGCGGGAAGAAAGAAACAAGGTTTCCTGGGCCCTGTGCTGTCATGGCGGCGGCCAGCCCGAGCGCGGGGGGCTCGGCGCCTGAGGCTGCGGGTTCCCCCGAAGCCCCGCTGCAATACAGCCTTCTCCTGCAGCACCTGGTCGGGGACAAACGTCAGCCCCGGCTTCTAGAGCCGGGCAGCCTGGGCGGGATCCCCAGCCCGGTCAAGAGCGAGGAGCAGAAGATGATCGAGAGGGCGATGGAAAGCTGCGCCTTCAAGGCGGCGCTGGCCTGTGTGGGAGGTGAGGCGAGGCTGGGGGGCCCGGAGCCCGGCCGTGGGTTCCCCGCAGGAAGACCCCCCCCCCGGCCTGGGTGCGGGCGAGGAACCGGGGTCACGCCTCTCCTGACCCCAGGCTCGCTTTGGTCCTTGGCGTTTGGGTCTCAGTAGCCGAGAGAGAGAGAAAGAGAGGGAGGGGAGGGGAAGGGGGAGGGAGAGCCTGGCAGAAGAGTGCTGCAGATGTGGATCCATAGATGCAAAGGTCCTTAAGGCAGGGACTAGCGATTTGAAAACTAGAAGAAGGGCCCCGGAGTGACTATCTGACAGAAGTGGTGGTTTTGGTGGTGGTTACGGGTGGCTTTTTAAGAAAGAAGTAACTTTTTTAAAATATACTTTTATTGTGAAAATACTGTACAGAGGGGTTACAATTACATGGGTAAGATAATGAGTACATTTCTTATCAAGCATTGTAGCCTCCTGCTTTGTTTCCCCTTCCCATCCCTTCCCATCCTCCTCCCCCCACCAAAGTTGTAAAGTTCATTTTTCGACATAACGACTTGTACATCTCATTGTTGCAATGGGTCCTCCTGTATCCCTGTTTTAACTATCTGTTTTTTCCCTTCCCCTCCACATATACCAACATCATATATAGTGAAAGCAGGGTTGTACCATGGGGGAGGGACATACAAGGCAACAAAGACATAATCTTATAAATATAGAAAGATCTCTCTCTCTTTTTTTTGTCAGTCGTGGGGCTTGAGCTCTAGGCCTGGGAAGTGTCCCTGAACAATTCAGCTCAAGGCTCATGCTCTACCAAGAAGTAACTTTTTGAGGATTTGAGAAAGGATTTGAGGATTTGAGAAAGATGAGTTTAAATTTCATTGAGAATCAAGGACACTTAAGAAATGAATATAGGCCTGGTATAGATGACTGGTGCCTGTAGTCTAGAGACAGGAGGATTACAGTTTGAGGCCAGCCTGGGCAAAAAGTTAGCCATACCTCATCTCAACAAACCAGCTACTCAGGAGGCAAAAGGTAGGAGGATCGTGGTCCAAGACCAGTCTGGGCAGAGAGCATGAGATTCTCTTTGAAAAAAAAAAAAAACTAAGAAGCAAAAAAGGGGTGGAAGCATGGCGCAAATGGCAGAACACTGGCCTATTTAAACAAGACAAGCCTTGGCTACTTCACCTCTCCTCCTCCCCCCAAGAAAAGAAAGAATATAGTAGGAAGTGCAAATATAGACAAAAGAAGTGAGATAGTTTGGAGCTGGAGTTACTGGAAAGAAAAAGCCAGAAGTGGAGACGTTTGAGAGGACAGATGTCCATGACTTTACTCATGACCTTGAAGTGATGAGAAAACATCTATTATGGCAAAGTTCAGTTGCTCATCAAGGTCCCATGTAGACAGCTTAGCAGTGCAGGATTTCCCATATGGTAGATGTGTGACCTTGGAGGGATATTACTTAATCTCTCTGAGATTCAGTTTCTTTATCTATAGGAAGGAGGGGGTGGTGGAATCTACCTCATAGGGTTATTGTGAAGAATAAAGGAGGCAATGGCTGAGTGTCTCTGAGTATCCAGCCAGCACATTCATCACAGATGGCTGTGATGAACGTCACCATGGTCAAGGGAGCAGGTTACAAAGTTGATAGCTGAACTCTGAGGGCGGTGGTTGGTTTCATCTGAAAGTGAGTTGAGAAGACAGAATGACAAGGAGAGTTAGGAAGTGAAAGGAGGAAGAAGTCCTAGAGGAGACCAAGAGGACACACAGAGCATTGTGTGGGGTGGAGGCCAGATAGGCGAGATGGAGTGGCCGAGACCCAAGATGTTACCTTCAACTGTGCTCCCCATGCATAATCCAGAAACCTACCCTCTGTTTGCTTGTAGGATTTGTCTTGGGAGGTGCATTTGGGGTGTTTACTGCCGGCATTGATACCAACGTAGGCTTTGACCCAAAGGATCCTTACCGTACACCAACTGCAAGAGAAGTTCTCAAGGACATGGGGCAGAGAGGAATGTCCTACGCCAAAAATTTTGCCATTGTGGGTGCCATGTTTTCCTGCACTGAGTGTTTGGTGGAGTCCGTAAGTGTCTGTTTCCCAAGGAATCTTTATCTGCTGTTGTCACACAACATTTAAAGAGAAATGCTCTTAATATTCTTCCTGGAGTATAGATAAGTAATATCAGGTACTGTCCAGACTCGCCAGGGTCCTGCTACTATGATGTTTGCATCCGGTAGCCACCAGTATTATGACCTAAATAGACCTTTTTACTGTATAGCTTGGAAAAAAAAAAAAAAAAGATGCAGTCCTGTCAGGCACTGGTAGCCCATGCCTATTAATCCTAGCTATCAGGAGGCTGAACTCTGAGGCTCAAGGTTCAAAGCCAGCCAGGGCTGGAAAGTCCATGAGACTTCTATCTCCAATTAACTACCAAAAAGCTGGGAATAGTGCTCCAAGTGGTAGAGCACTTGTTGAGTTTAAAAGCTCAAGACAGCATCTAGGGCCTGAGTTTAAGCCTCAGGCCTTGCACAAAAAAACAAAAGAACAAACAAGCCAAAAAAGATAGTTCATACTGTTTCTCCATAAAATAGCCCTTCAAGTAAACTTTGTGTGTGTTTATGATATGGGCTTGCTTTACTTATTTTTTGTGCGAGGTTTGAAACTCAGAGCTTTGTGTGTGCTAGGCAAGACCACTGAGATAAAGCCTCAGGCTAGTTAATGAAGAACCTGTGTGGTGGTGTATTCCACTTAAATCCCAGCTCTTGAGAGGCCGAGGCAGGAGACTTTGGAGTTCAAGGACAGCCTATGTTTCCTAGTGAGATGTCTCAAGCAACCAAACAAGTCATCTCCAGCAAGACTTCCTGGAGAATTTGGGAAGAAATTCAGATGGCTTCTCAATAGGTGATATATTTGGTTTTGGCACTCTAGGGCCACCTGCAGGCAGCATCTATGAATACCTTCAGATTTTAGGAACTATACTTTTGGAAAGATGAGGCTTCCTTTGGATAGGGACACAGCCAGGTAGAGGCTTGTCTGTTTCTCTGGCTCTGAACTTAGCCTCTCTACCCACAGTACCGGGGCAAGTCTGATTGGAAGAACAGTGTCATCAGTGGCTGCATCACCGGGGGAGCTATTGGTTTCAGAGGTTAGTGTTGTTCTCCAGTGCATTTCCTTTGTGTCCTGAAAAATGTGCTGACGTGGACATTGCTAGTGTAGAAGCTTGCTAGTGTGTACATCAGGATTTCTTGTTTTGGGCACTACTGCTGGATTTGCAGGGCATCGGCCCTACGCATTGTGGGGTCTTTAGTCAGATGCTAACAGCACCAGTTGAAAGTGTCTCCCAGTTGTCCAGAGTTCCCTGAGGGGCAAATTTATCACCCACCTACAAGCCCCTGATTTAGCTCTAAGAAAATAGAACTGTCCTTTACTGAGTATATGGGACAGCTTCCTCACAATGAGGACACTAGAGTGTATTGGTGAATTAGCATTTTGTGTGTATGTGTGTGTGAGTTGGTACTGGAGCTTGAACTCCTGGCCTTTTGCTCTCACTTGGCTTTTTCTCTTAAAGCTTGCACTCTGTTACTTAAAGTGCAGCTCCACTTCTGTGGCAGCCACTCAGCCCTGAGCAGCCCATTTGTCCATATGCAAGGCTGGACTCCCAGGTCTAGGCAGCATTTTTCTTAATTTTACATGGTTTTCAATTTTTTGTTTGTTTTGCAGTGCTCTGGATAGAAGCCTAGGCCTTACAAATGCTAACTATGTACTCTACCACTAAACTACACTCCAAGACCCACCTGTCAGTTTTAATTTTGTATATTCATTTTAAAAAGCAATGTCTTTTATAGTTGGAGATTCTGCTCATTAAAAAATTTAGTACAGGTGCCAGGGTGCTGGTGGCTCATACATATAATCCTAGCTACTCAGGAGGCTGAGATCTGAGGATCATGATTCAAAGCCACCCTGGGCAGAAAAGTCCTTGAGACTCTTATCTTCAATTAACCACCAAAACAGTGGAAGTGGAGCTGTAGGTCAAAGTAGTAGAGCACTAGCCTTGAGCTAAAGAGCTCAGGGACAGTGCCCAAGCCCTGAGATCAAGCCCTACAATTGACCCCCTCCCCCCCAAAAAAAAATTCAGTACAGGTGTTCTAAAAATGTTAGATTATCCATTGTAAACAACCAAGAAACCAATTTCAGGATTTTCCTTGTTGGAATGCTTATCAGGAGGCCTCAGGGTCTTGACTGGCCTAGATGCAGTCTATCTACCCTCCGTAGGTAACACCTACCGAGCGAAATTTCACTGGTTTCCTGCGAGTGGATGGTTTGCTGTCATTAAAGCCTGCTTTTGCTCCTACATAGCCATGTGTAATTTATAGAGTGACTTCTCCTTTGGTCTTCCTGCTGCTCTGCTTTGTCAGGGCCTCCGAGAAGCTCAGCTCCCTCCAGGACTGCTTTGATCACTTTCCCAGGAATTTATTCCATAAACAGTTCGGGTAAAGGCCATATGCTTTCATTTGATTCCAAGGGCTGTTTCTCTTAACCAGTTTCCTGCCTGTGAGGGGCTATTTCCATAAGACTAGCAATAGTAATTCTTTGGAATGAGAAAACTTAGGCAGATGTATAGTTAGATGAAGCACACTGGCTTGGATCCCATTCACTGCTTCATTGAAGTCTTACAGCTATCTTAGATGGCATTCCTGTAATGACTGCACATGCTCTGAGCTGGGTCCTTTGCATCTGTGGGTGTACACTTGTGCATGCAGCCTGAGTTTGCATCTGTCATCGTGGGTCAAGTAACGTTACTTGTGTTTGCTTTACAGCTGGTGTAAAGGCTGGGGCCATTGGCTGTGGAGGTTTTGCTGCTTTCTCTGCTGCAATTGATTATTACCTACGGTGAGAGGAGTGGTCTAGGGGAAGGATGCTGCTGGCCAGGATGGAACTGTTCTTTGAAGAACAGTTTCTATACTGCTTGGTATTACTTCAGGAGCAATGGATCTGAATTGTTGGTTTTTCCTTCATATGGCTAATGGTGTGAGAGAGCCACCAGGCTGTTCTCTGCCTCCAGCCTGTAGTGTGGCCACTCTGCCGCTCCTGGACTCCAGCCAGGAGCTGGGCCATGTCAGATTGACTCCTTCAAGCCTGTCAGGAGGTAGTTGGTTGACTGTATGAATTATGTTCCACCCACGCTCAGTCCTGACCACATCTAACTCACTAAGTTGTTTGATGCAGTGGGTACAGAAGTGGCAGCGTTTACCAAGACCCAGGAAGCACTTCTGCCTTGGAACTCTATGCAAAGATCCATCTTGTACACTAGGGCAGGGAAAAGTACATTTATGCCATCCAGCCAATGATGTCATTTTCTTTAGTGTTTTGCCATCCTTGTTAAAAAATATATATATATCTATATATATTTATATCATAGTTTGAAAGGCTGATTTATTTGTATGTAAATTCCACAGCCCCTTCCCCCCTCCCCCAGATGGTGCCCCATGAGTAACAATTCAGTGGGAAAGGGATAACCTCGAGAAGTCTGGCATTGTAACACCCACAAACTCATCACACAGGGCAGTCATTCCCCAAAATGCCCGGCCTGGCTGTTGTGTAGCTGTGTAATTTTGCTGCCTTGCCCTGCCCAGAGCTTGCTGTATCATGGTCGGGCTCAGGCTCAGGCCCAGGCCCAGGCCATGGCCCAGTTCAAGGATCTGTGTGAAGGTCCTGTTCTGGCCTGGCCATAGCTGTTAGCAAGATGAGCTGTTAGTAAGGAGCCATTCCCACTACCCTTGTTGTCCAGTCTTTTTTTTTTAAACCTCATAGTCTTAAGCTGTTGACAACAGCTTATTCTAATTGTGCATCATGGTAAGTATAGCTTTTTGTGATTGGCTGCTTTTTTCAGGTGTATTTGTGGAGATGAAGTTGACGACACAGTTTGCCTCTTGCAGGCTAGGCTGGTAGGGTGGTGAATGCTATATAAGGCTGTGTCCAGCCCGTGATCCTGTTACACAGTGCCTCCTCTGCCTTTGCTTTGTTTTGTTTGCTTTCTTCTTCATCTTCCCTGCCTCCTAGCTTACTCACCCTAAGCCAGCACTAGACTGGGCTTCCGCATGCAGGCGTCCCAGTGTGTGTATTTGTGAGTGACAATGTCAAACCTGGCTGGTGACAGTGTTCACTGTTTCCTAGGAAACATGAGCTAGTGCACAGGGCTCCCAGCCTTCTGGCAAGTTCTTGTTCTGCATTGTGGGGGAAAAACTCAGGGCACTGCACCCTGGCTTCCTCCTGTCATGCACTCTGTACGATGTCTATCCCACTCTCACAAGTCTGAGACTTCATTATCATCAGGCCAAAGTGTCGTCCAGAGCTTTGAGAACAAATTACCTCCTGCATTGTCCTGAAACACTTGATCCTTGAACCCATTTGAAGTGAGGTACCTGTGGAAGTGATGCTTGGGCTAGCTTTACCAGCTTTTATGCACAGGAGGCCTAACACCACAAATGCTGCCCTGGCAACTGTATTGGCAAAGATGAGCCTGGAGGCTGTCAGTAACCCATCACTTCCACAAGCTAAGCCTTGTCCACACGGACTGTTGAATCAAGAGAGGAGATGAAAAGCTTCCTGTTTTGGACGGCTGAGGAGCCAATATGAGCTCATAAACCAAACAGCAATTTGCAGAGACATCTGTTCTCCATCTCAAGAGTAAACACTGCAGAAGCTCAGGTTGGTGGGGGCCTAACCCCATGGGCTTTCCCTAAGGAGGGTGGGCACTCTAGGAGATGCAAGTCTCTAACAAGTTGGTTAGAGCAAAAGGCTGCCCCAAAGATGGTGCTCCAGGACACACTGACGGTGAGCTCTGTGAAGAGATGTGTGCTTCACGAACCACAACACAGTGACAACAGCAGCCAGGCTGGCAGCAGGCCGGCGCCGGTGTGAAGAGCAAGGAGGTTTGGCCCACTGCCTCCAAACTGCTGCAGGCCAAAGGGAAGGCTCAGGGACAGAAAGGTAAACAGGTTCCTAGAAACACATCTGGATGCAGCTGGAAGAGTTAAATATTTAGATTAGTGCTGGGCCTTCCCTGTGCTAGTAAGAACACAAACATCCATACCGCAGGGCTGAGTTTTGTGCAAATGTTGGGACTTTGCATTTTTTTTTATTAACATTTTCCTCTCACGTGGTTTACATCAATTTATAATCTACATAAGTTGAAACAGAACAGAGACAAAAAAAATATATCCTTACCAACTTATTAAAGTCAAATATTAATGAAGGGTCCCGTCCTACCTCCATCAACAAAAACTGGTAACCCTCAGCCACTGCTCGGCGAGGAACGCATGCCTGGGATTCCTGGAGCCTGTCTCCTGTTGGCACACCCTGCTATGCAGGAGTGATTAGGGGTTCTAGGCTGCAAGGTCTCTGTCTCAGGAGAACCCACAGGGTTATTTCCTCAGTGCAGCTCAGTCCAGCTCTGGCACGCAGTCCTCCCCATACAGGGTGGAACTGTAAAGATGAGCCTTTTGCATTTCTCAGCCCTTCCAGCCTTCCACCTTTTACACTGACTAAGCAAGTTGGGGCTGCAGCAGCCACCCAGTTGGGGCTGTAACTAGCTCACCTTGGGCCTCTAATCTGTTATCTTTGATCCTTTGGAAGCAAGAACCTATAACCACACATCAGCACCCATCCCTAAGCAGACATTGGAGGAATTATCAGCTGCTGGGGTCTTAATGCTCAAATGGCATTCTTCTTTACCTCTTGCCCCAGAGAGCAGGGCTCCTTGCTAAACTGCTAATGGGCAGTTGAGTGGTTGGCATTTCTTTCCTCTATATGTATGTGGACTGTTCTGCCAAAGGCAGTAGAAAGGACCCTACCTCACTCAGCAAGCACCGCAGCTTTGGGGCCAGCAAACTCTTCTTCAGACTTTGTCCTGAGCATACACAATGGGAACTGTTCCCCTCAATCCTGGGGGCCAAGAATCAGCTCTGCATCACACAAGAGCCTGAGAGCTTTGGGAATAAATCTGCTTTCCAGTACTGAGCAATGGCTGTCAAAGTTGGGATGGTACCCGCTAATCCCCTACTTCCAGTCCTGAGAGGCATGCCTAATTCCTCATCCTCCCCCCGCTTCTGGAATTCCCCAGCCTTTACTCTCAAGGCTGCCTACAGAAATGGGGGCGAGACAGGAGCAGCACTGCCGGCTGGTAGCTGCTAGTGGTTGGGTTGTGCCTGCCTTTCCCAGGCCCGCAGCACACGTGGTGGTGAGGGCTGCCTGTGGCAGTGCTTGGCTGTGGAGAGTGTGTGAAGTCTAAGGCAAAAGTACCACGAGGTATGTGTGGTGCCAGACAGCCTCCAGGATGGAGCCTGCTCCAGTCTGGACACCTGCTTCAGCCACAGAAGTTGCCTTCCAGGAAGGCTTCTCCAAGTCCTTCCTTCTCAGAGCAGCTTCCCCTTGCCGCCTGCTGCTGGTGCTGCTCAGCACTGGCCCCCTGTGCTGTCCTAGTCCTTAGCAGCCTGGTTCTCCACATCCCCATAACCCACATCCCCACATGCTTTCCTAACCCTCTGTTCTCTTGGTAGCAGGCCACTTGTGGGCCTTTACAATGAAAGGAAATAGAACACAGGGGAAAAGGAACTGAAAAGTCAGTAGTAGAAGAAACAGTCAAAGTGCCTCACTGGTAGGCAGGAGACAGAACCAACCCCAGAAATGGCGACTCTCAGATGGAAAGTTCCAGAAATCAGCTCTCCAGCTCTGCTGAGGCTTAGTGTGTCTGTCTCCTTGTCCAACATTTGCACAGGTAGCAAGGCAAAGCAGGTGTGCCTCCATGGGTGGAAGGCAGGGAGAGGCTGAGGGTAGTGTGCAGTGGCATCAAATGGCTGCCACCGCTACCCAGGGCTTCCACAGAACTTTCTAGGTGATGAAGCGAAACCCGAGGCCGCACATGCATGTGGCAGGCTGGGAAGAAGAAGATGGAGGACACTGGGGGGGGGGGCTGAGATCTGGGAGCAGGGAGGGCCAAGAGAGAAGCTGGCAGCAGTTACAGAGCGCAAAGTAAAAGCCCTTGGACTGGACTCGGGAAGAAAGAAAGGGAAAATGAAAGAACAGAGCAGGCTGCCCGTATGCCCACACCAGGTCGGTCACGACCTTTTCTGCATGACAAATATACATAAAACAATTCCTGAACAGCACGGAGCATCAGACACAACTAGAGGCACAGAGGGCAGGAGCTGGGGTGTGGCGATGAGGCTGGGGGCTGGTCAGCTGGCTTTGTACAGGTGGCACAAAGGATGCACATAATTCCAGTTCTTGGAAGTCAGCTTCCCTTGGAGTCTGGAGTTCTGGGCTGGGGAGTTTCTGTTGCAGTCTTTCAAGTCTATTGGGCCTGGGCTGCAGGGGCTGGCTCTGGCCACCCCAACAGCTGCCCTGCCTCGGCTACACATCTGTGGAAAAGTACAGTGTATTCCGCTTCAGTTCTGCGAAGGAAATGGGGGGATGCTGCAGGTAGTAGAGGAGGACCTGGACCTGTAGGGAGAGAGGGGAGACTGAGGTTGGAGTCCTTGCCCTCCTTCCATCTAACCTGCTGAGCAGAAATGATCTCTGAATCAGGGCCAAGTCTATGCTGTCCTCTGCCACTGTCCCCTGCTGGCTCTAGCCACCTCCCTTTCCTTGGAAGCCTAGGTGATTGTCCATTTACAACACTAGAGGGCGCTGCAGGGCAGAGGGCGGAGAGAAGCCTGGAGCCACTTCTGCATGTAAGATAAAAGCTTCCAACCTGGACCTGATGTTGGCTTTGGTTTGACGGTTTCCCTGAATCTTGCAGGAATTGCAAAGAAGCTTCCTGACTCCAGAAGCAGCTCCAGAGCTTTGATGCATGAGGACAAGGCCTTCAGAATCTTCTGTGCCTCTGGCTGGCTTACCTGCTTTCCTCCTCCCACTTTCCCTTCCTTCCTGTATTAGGAGTTGAGCTCAGGGCCTTGTACTTGCTGCTGCACAAGTGCTCTACCACTTGAGCCACACCCCCAGTCCTTCTGATTTCATGTAGGGTCTCTAGCTTTTTGTGGCCTCAGACCATGATCCTACTTCCACCTCCTGAGTAATTGGGATTACAGGTGTAAGCAACCATTCCTAGTGTGTATATGAGTCTTGCTCTCTGCCATCTGAGCTTTCTGAGACTGAGGCACTCCTGGTACCTGGAATATTCTCTGGCTCCTTGCTTAGACTCATACTTTTGGCCTGGTGAAGGGAAGGACATTCTATATCCCTGAGCCTAGTGGCAGTCTATAGATGACTAACCCAGCTGACAGGAGGAGAGAGGTGTGAGCGCTCTGCCATTCTCTCTACCCCTCCACTGGCCATAGTCCTGAGCAGTGCTGGTGGTACCTGTGCCATGACATCATGAGACCAGATGTCTGCAGCCGATGTGAGATGTGCTTTGCTCTCCACTTCTGAGGGTCTCAGCAGCGTGGGACCAAACACAGTGGCCAGGTTGTGAAGTGACATTTTGTTGATGGGCTCCTTCTCGGCAACCCTGATCGGGAAGTAGGGAGAAGAAAGAAGTCTCCAGAAGTTACTCCTTAGCAGCCACTTGGATCACCCAGGACCCAGGGTGACTCAGGGCAGCTGTAGGATTCCCAGGATCCCTTGCAGCTAGAGACCTGCTAATGGCAAAGACACTAAGCCAAGGGATTTAGGCCTCAGTTGTGTCCCAGTGTGCCATCCTCCCAGCCTCCAGGTCACCTGTTGAACTGATGATAAACTGCCAGGACCAGAAGGAGCCGCACCCAGCAACTACAATGCCCTTGCCGTAAGAGACTGCATGGCTGTTCTAAGAACACTATCTGCAACAATTCATACTGGTCAGTTTCATCATCCCATGGAGGAGATGAAGAACCAAAGTAAGGGGAGGTTAAATGTCTAAATCTGAACCTGGTCAGTCTGCCTAAGAACCTATGCTTTTAACCACTCTGCCCTTCACCTAGCATCCAACAGCCCAGCTGTGGGAGTGGCCAGAGGGACAGACTGTGACAGGGCAGGCAGGGGCAAGGCAGAGAGGACCTGGGGTCCGGCAGCAATTGCTAACTAGACCCATGGTTCCGCCTGCTGTGCTAACCCCAGTCAGGCTTGGGGGCTGTCCTCCCCAGGCTCCACAGGGTGGGCTCATGGGACCACAGCTGTTGGCCTCCCTTTGGATTTTCCATGTTTCTCTTGCATAATAGACCAGATGCTCTGTCAACACTTCCCTTGAGTGACAGCAGGAGCTGCCATCTGTGGCTGGTGTCCAGCCCTAGTATTACCATGAAGCTCTGAGCCTCCCTCCCAGCTCAGGAGCTGAGATACACCCGCCTTGGGGACATCATCCCCGCCCTCCAGGCAGGAGCCAGGGATGTGCCTGCCGACTGCTTTGGAAACAGGCAAACAATACGATGTCAGCAGGCAGCTGTGCAGTGGGCCAGTCCCTCACCACACACACACACACACACACACACACACACACACACGGGCCAGTCCCTCACCACACCACACACACACACACAGAGCCAAGTAGGCCAGTCCCTCACACCCCCCCCCCACAGCCAAGTGGGCCAGTCCCTCACCACATACACACACACACATACACACACACACACACACACACACACACACACGGGCCAGTCCCTCACCACATATAGACACATACACACACACACATGGGCCAGT